GTTGCTGTTGCTGTTGCTGTTGCTGTTGTTGTTGCTGTTGTTGTTGTTGTTGTTGTTGTTGTTGTTGTTGCTGTTGCTGTTGCTGTTGTTGTTGCTGTTGTTGTTGTTGTTGTTGCTGTTGCTGTTGTTGTTGTTGTTGTTGCTGTTGCTGTTGCTGTTGTTGTTGTTGTTGTTGCTGTTGCTGTTGTCTGTGTTATTGCTGTTGTTGGTGTTGTTCTTGTCTGTGGTGGTGGTGTTATTGTTGTCGCTGTTGTTGTTGTTTACAGTGATGGGAGTGGGGTTGTTACTGTTGTTTTGTTTGCTATTGTTGTTTGCGATGTTGTTGTTGTTAACGGTGGTGTTGTTGCTGTTGTTACTGTTGTTTTGTTTGGTATTGTTGTTCGTGATGATGTTGTTGCTGCTGTTGTTGTTATTGTTAGCGGTGGTGGGAGTGGTGTTGTTACTGTTGTTGTGTTTGATATTGTTGTTGTTTGTGGTGTTGCTGCTGCTGCTACGATGTAGTACTGACTTATCATGTCCTGGTTCCGTTTCTTGTGTCCCCTTATCGTTCAGCGGAGCGGACTCATCTGATGGGGTAACACCTGCTCTGTTAGGTTGTTGCTCGGTTGTAACTTGTTGTTGGGGCTCGTTTGGGTGTTTCTCGTTGGATGGGGTTTGCAACATGTCATTCAATCCTAATAGCGAGGAAGAAGGTAGTTTAGAAGCAGTCCCACCGCTCGTAGCTGCAGTTCCGGGTAATTTGGTTTGTTTGTTGTTGTTGTTGTTGTTGTTGTGGTGGTGGTTATTGCTGCTGATGTTTTTGTTGTCGTTGTTGCCGCCATTGATTTTAATATCATTATTATGAACATTGTTGTCCTTGTTGTTGTTTTGGCGGCTGATGTTGTCTTTGTTGTTGCTGTTGTCGTTGTTGATAGCGTTGTTGCTGGTCTCTCTTCCACTGTTATCAACTATCTCCTTGCTTTCGGAGGCACTCGTACTAGCAAAAACTGTCTTATCTTTGTCATCAATACTAAGAGTACCACACATTCCATTCTCTGTAGGGATTCCTTCATCGGCTATCGTTGTGCTTTCAGTTTCACTTTGACCAGAGTTTCCTTCTATAGGCCCAGACACTTGGTCTTTCTCGTTCAAGCTCTCAGCTCCAATCCTTACGATTTCCATCACAGCATTATTCAAACGCAAGGGACTTTCTCCTTGAAGTTCGTCAATGCAGCCTATCTTAAGTGGAAGCTTTTGACCATTTTTAATCTCGAACAGAAAGCAATTTACTGTGACATCAGAGTCTTTTATATTTGCGATGAATACAATGTATCTCTCCAAACCTGTAAGAATTAAGAGCTTAATTTTAACTCTTCTTTGGAAGCCAAGTTAGGGCCATTCCTTTATACCTGTATTTGTCCAATGTTAGTATACAGGAAGAAACCTGAACTAAACTAACTTTATTTACACTGAAACGTTCTAAATTGTTCTCCCTTGACAGAGTCAAACTAGAAGCATTCGACTCTCAGACAATTGTTTATCGCAGGAAACAAACCTCGGTCAGAGAGACTGAAGCGAAAGTATTAAAAATTGTCCAAAAGATATATTTATACTTCACTATATCGCAAAACAAATACATAGTTAAATACCTAATGTAGGCATGTTACTCCACACAATATTGTAATCACCAGCACTCGGTTCAAACAACGGTATTTCGTGATGACTGTGCCATTGACCAATGTTGCAAAGTCCGTGTTGTTTTGTAAAATAGCTTCCGGCATGTTCCAGATAAGAAATATCTTGAAAGAACGATGTTGTTGTCCTGCGACAATCTTTGCCAGGCCCGAGAACAAATTGGACCACAGCTGTGCTCTCGTCGAGCCATAAGCCGAACAGATCACCACCTTAAAATTATAGACAGATATTATTTCGTGAATTGACTAGACCTATCCTAGCGACGGATGATCTGTCTGGACGGACTTGGGCGAAGAAAAGATGTTACTCCTTGCATGTTGTATAATGCGGCAAACAGACAGAGCATTTTACTGTATGTCAAGATGAAGTAACTGCTTATAAGCTTGTCTACGCTTGCCCAACTACACACGCGAAAATCTTCGATCTTGTAGCAAGTCTGCCAACAAGCCGTCAACAAGTTGTGTTCGCACTGCTTGTCCCAAGTTGTCAACAAGTATGGAACAACTTGTTAACAGTTGTAGCAACCTTGTTGATATATCAGACTTGTTGCAAGGTTGTTCCAGCAAGTCAGATACAGTTGTGATATTGTTGTTACAACTTTGTGTCTGCAAACTTGTAACATTCTTGTTATATCATGACTGTATCAGACTTGTTAGAACAACAGTATCAGATTTGTTGTAACAAGTCTGATAATGCCATCATGCTTGTTAAAAGTTGTTAACAGCTTGTTCCAAACTTGTTACAACATCTGGGAACAAGCAATGCGAACACAACTTGTCGACAGCTTGTGAACAGACTTGTAACAACTTGTTTGCAGACCTAGATACGACTCTGTATTATCTCATGCGAAGGAAACGTTATTGAAAAACCATTGCAGCCTTTCATTGAGAAGATGATGGTTCGGATATTTACTGTATTTTATTTATTTACGTTGCAATAAACATGTAAACAACATTAACCTGTTTGGATATCAGGTTTCGCTTTTACCCACTCGTGAATTCGTTCCAGTTCGCCTTTGCTGATGTAGACCTTGAATTTCCTTTCCCGTTTGCTATTCTTCGCCTCTGGAGGTAAAAAGTCCATTGCCCCAGACATGTTTCACTTAAAACGAGTTTGCAAACAATAATGCGACGGTTTAAGTTGGTATATTACGTTGTGAACTGCGACTTTTCCATAGCATTTAATTGGTTTCACTTTATATTATTTAAACTAAACAATGGTTATACTAGGAAATACACATCGAATTTGCATGATTCGTTGCATAACATAAATAGTTGAATTATTTTAACTTCAGCCAAACAGCAGGTCTATTTCGCTGTTTGTACTCGCATTGTATTAGGATTATAGAGTTTGTGAAATTATCTTCGTTGAAGCTATAGGAAAGAGGTCGATAAATTGCAGTTTTTTCAAAGGCATTGTTTTTCAGCTTTGGAAGACATTTGAAAGACATCAACAGACTTGAATGAATACATTTTACACTAAATTAAAAAGGACAAAACAATGTTTTTTACCTAGAGATAACACTATTTGATATTCCTGGGGTTGGTTGTTCAAAGTTGGGTTGCGCTAACCCTGGATTAAAATTTAACCTGCTGTTTTAGTTTGTGTATTTCTGCACGTCTGTTTATTTCAAAACTTCAGAGATGTAAATTCCTATCAATCCAGACAAGATCTTTCTCTGAAGAAATATTTCCAAATTTATAGACAAGCTGTCAGGAAGTTTGCTTTGAATTTCAGGTTAACCGAGGGTTAAGCTAACCCAGCTTTGGATAACTGGCCCCTGGTTACATTTCTTGGTTAATGTTTTATCTCACTTCCTATACCATAATCTGGTTATAATGTAACCAGGAATCTGGTTATATTTGCCCAGGACATCCTTGTTAAAATATCCAGACTATGCCAGGTGGATATATATAACCAGAGCCCCCAGTTATTTATCTAGTTGTATAAAATGTTTAATACTAAAACTCTAAAAGACTTTTGAATATTTGACACTGGCTAAGTTAACTCTTTAAGTGGCAATGCACCCTAATCTCCCTACTTTATTATTTTGTTCTGTCTAATGCCAGACGATTTTACTCATCAAGGGGAGAGTGCTGCCATTCAATGGGTTAGGGGCCATTCACAAAGGATGTCCGGCCAAATGATGGATTTTCAGACCCCCCCTCCCCCCCTTGTCCGGCATTGTCCGAATTAGTGACCTCCCCCCGGACATCCGCCATGCCTCGCAAAAACTCACGCAATCTTGTATATATCAAGAGTAAAAAACTTTTACTTTTAGAACTTTTTTATAACTGTAAATGTGAACACAAAAACATATAAATTACTAATTAAAACAAAATCTAGTGTTAACCGCATAGTCAAAATGCCAATTTCACAATGGGAAAGACTGCTCAAAATAGAGGGAAAAAAGAAATTTGTTTTCGATTTTTTTTAAATTTCGGACATCCAGATTGCTAAAACCCCCCTCCCCCCCCCCTATGTCCGAGTTTGTCCTTATTTTCCAAACCCGCCTCCCCCCTCGGCTCGGACATCCTTTGTGAATGGCCCCTTAATAAAACAACATTGGGGTTAGTTTGTTTAAGTTTGTGTACTGGAGTTATCTGCCCCCCCTGAAAATGGTTTGGTGTATGTGCTAGATATATTTTATTAGTAGAATCATACTAGTATACTATTGCAAATGCTGTAATTTGATTGGCTGCGCTACTCGGTATCTATTCCTCGGTAGATAGCGAGTTGCAAAACAATAATTTTCCTTGCGCATTTTTTTTTTAAACGGCTTCCGGCTCGCATTTTTCTGAGGTTTCTGAGGTTACTCGCTCTCGGTTTCTATGAGGTGACAGTTGAAATCTCGAGCTCGTAATCTAATTGTTAAATGTAAAAATATAATGTTGAAGTTAGATACAATACCTTTAAACCTTTCCGGTCCTTTTGGTTTATTGACACCTCTTTGTTACTATATATATAGACAGTGTTCTGTGGCAATTGATCAGGTCCCAACAAATATTATATATTTTCCTTGAAAATAACATGGTTTGTGTTATACTAATTCTACAGAATCCTCTATGATACAGACCCTTGTTTCATTCAAAATAGTAATTATATACATGGGATTAGATAACTCTCGTCTAGGCCAAGAGCCCGATTTCACTACCGGTAACATTTAAAGCGCATCTGAATATTTTTTCATGAGGCCAAAAAAACAATATGTTGGTTTACGGTTTCCCGACCCTACCTAGCTTTTGGACGTCGAAATCCCGACCCTAAACTTTTTTATTGGATCATGCTTGTATGTGTTTCCACTTAGAGGAAAAAGTTTGTGGAAAATTGAAATTTGAGGCAATATTAGGGAAATTTATCTTTGGATGTGGAAGCACTGACTAAACAAAATGGCGTCCGGTTGTTAGGAAAATTTAAAAAAGGTTTAAAAAAAAAGTTAAAACCGACCTACCCTACCTAAGTTTTTATAAGAAAAAACCGGAAACCCACATTTTTTTTTTGCCTGAGAATTTGCGCTTTATAAATGTATTATTATTTTACTGATTATTGTATTTAAATAAGTTTTGCACCGTCGCAAGCTGTCTTTGATAAAAATCGTTTATACTTTGTTTCATCAATACATGTTAAAATTTAAAAACCAGCATTAAATTTAAGTGAACATTTTAAATCAGTAAGAACTGCATAAGAAACACAATCCGCATGATTAACACAATCCGCATGAGTAACGCATTCGACGCCCCTTCCGTACACTACTCGACAAATGCCTGCCACTATCCTCCTGATTAGATGGATTATTATTTTCACTGCTCACATTTGGCATCAAATTTTCCTTTTGCAATTCAGGCTGATGTATTACTACTGACTTGTCATGTCCTGCCTTTGTTTCTTCTCTTTCCTTATCATGCGGAGCAGGCTTATCTGAGGGGGTTAAATGATCATTGTGACTTCCACTGTTAGGTTGTTGTGCAGATATTTTAAAAGTATTCCATCCGCCTTCATGAGAAATTCTACGTAATTTGGTTCGTGTGCCTGTTTTCTCTTTTTCTTGTCCTGTTTTACTTTCGTCACTGTTGCTGGTGTTGTCTGTGTTGTTGTTGTTACCGGTTGTGTTGGTGGTGGGAGTGATGTTGTTACTGTTGTTATGTTTGCTATTGTTGTTGTTTGTGGTGGTGGTGGTGTTGTTATTGTTCTCGCCATTGTTATTGTTCTTGTTGTTGTGGTTGTTTTTATTGCTGCCGATGCTGCTGTTTTTGTTGTCATTGTTGCCGCCAATGATTTTTTTGTTGCTGTTGCGCTTGTCATCGTTGTCGTTGGTGGTGTCGTTTTGGAGGCTGATGTTGTTGCTGCTGTCATTGTTATTGCCGTTGTTGTTGCTGTTGCCATTGCGATGTAATACTGACTTGTTATGTCCTGGTTCCGTTTCTTGTGTTTCCTTATCGTTCAGCGGAGCGGACTCTTCGGGGTTAACACTTGCTTTGTTAGGTTGTTGCTTGGTTGTAAGTTGTTGTTGGGGCTCGTTTGGGTGTTTCTCGTTGGATTGGGTTTGCAATTTCTTTTTACTTGAATTACTTTTCAACCATCCTAACATTGCGGAAAATATGCCTGGGTTTTCTTGTTCCTGTTCTGTTTTACTTTCGTTGGTGTCGTTTGTGGTGTTGCTAGCACTGTTGTTGGTGTTGTTGTCTGTGTTTTTGTCTGTGTTGTTGTCTGTGTTGTTGGTGTTGTTGTCTGTGTTGTTGTCCGTGTTGTTGTCCGTGTTGTTCTCTGTGTTGTTGGTGTTGTTGTCTGTGTTGTTGGTGTTGTTGTCTGTTTTGTTGGTTTTGTTCTCTGTGTTGTTGTCTGTGTTGTTGGTGTTGTTCTCTGTGTTGTTGTCTGTGTTGTTGTTGTGTTTGCCGTTGTTGCTGTTGCCGTTGTTGTTGCTGCCGTTGCGATGTAATACTGACTTGTTATGCCCTGGTTCCGTTTCTTGTGTTTCCTTATCGTTCAGCGGAGCGGACTCTTCGGGGTTAACACTTGCTTTGTTAGGTTGTTGCTTGGTTGTAACTTGTTGTTGGGGCTCGTTTGGGTGTTTCTCGTTGGATTGGGTTTGCAATTTCTTTTTACTTGAATTACTTTTCAACCATCCTAACATTGCGGAAAATATGCCTGGGTTTTCTTGTTCCTGTTCTGTTTTACTTTCGTTGGTGTCGTTTGTGGTGTTGCTAGCACTGTTGTTGGTGTTGTTGTCTGTGTTTTTGTCTGTGTTGTTGTCTGTGTTGTTGGTGTTGTTGTCTGTGTTGTTGTCCGTGTTGTTGTCCGTGTTGTTCTCTGTGTTGTTGGTGTTGTTGTCTGTGTTGTTGGTGTTGTTGTCTGTTTTGTTGGTTTTGTTCTCTGTGTTGTTGTCTGTGTTGTTGGTGTTGTTCTCTGTGTTGTTGTCTGTGTTGTTGTTGTGTTTGCCGTTGTTGCTGTTGCCGTTGTTGTTGCTGCCGTTGCGATGTAATACTGACTTGTTATGCCCTGGTTCCGTTTCTTGTGTTTCCTTATCGTTCAGCGGAGCGGACTCTTCGGGGTTAACACTTGCTTTGTTAGGTTGTTGCTTGGTTGTAACTTGTTGTTGGGGCTCGTTTGGGTGTTTCTCGTTGGATTGGGTTTGCAATTTCTTTTTACTTGAATTACTTTTCAACCATCCTAACATTGCGGAAAATATGCCTGGGTTTTCTTGTTCCTGTTCTGTTTTACTTTCGTTGGTGTCGTTTGTGGTGTTGCTAGCACTGTTGTTGGTGTTGTCTGTGTTTTTGTCTGTGTTGTTGTTGGTGTTGTTGTCTGTGTTGTTGTCCGTGTTGTTCTCTGTGTTGTTCTCTGTGTTGTTGGTGTTGTTGTCTGTGTTGTTGGTGTTGTTCTCTGTGTTGTTGCTGTTGTTGTCTGTTTTGTTGGTGTTGTTGTCTGTGTTGTTCTCTGTGTTGTTGTCTGTGTTGTTGGTGTTGTTGTCTGTCTTGTTCTCTGTGTTGTTGTCTGTGTTGTTGGTGTTGCTGTCTGTGTTGTTGGTGTTGTTGTCTGTGTTGTTGGTGTTGTTCTCTGTGTTGTTCTCTGTGTTGTTGCTGCTGTTGTTGTTGGTGTTGTCGGTGTTCTCTGTGTTGTTGTTTTTGCCGTTGTTGTTGTTGCGATGTAATACTGACTTATGTCCTGGTTCCGTTTCTTTTCTTCCACTGTTATTTACTATTTCTTTGCTTTCGAAGGTAGTCATGCTAGCAGAAACGCTCTTATCTCTGTAATCAATACTTGAAGTACTACACATTCCATTCTCCCTAGGGACTCCATCTGCTTCGGCTATCGCTGTTCTTTCAGTTTCATTTTGACCAGAGTTTCCTTCTATAGGCCCAGGCACTTGGTCTTTCTTGTTCAAGCTCTCAGCTCCGATTCTAACGATTTTCATCACGGCATTATTCAAACGCAAGGGGCTTTCTCCTGGAAGCTCGTCACGAAAACCCTTCCTAACTGGAAGCTTTCGACCATTTTCAATCTCGAACAGAAAGCTATTCACTGTGACGTCAGAGTCTTTTATATTTGCGATGAATACAATGTACCTCTCCATACCTGTAAGAATTAGAGGGCTTAATTTTAACTCTTTTCCCTAGCGGCAAAGTTGGGGCCTTTCATTTAAACGTGTTTTGTTCTGTGTTACCATGCAGGAGGAAACCAGAATGCAATCAACTTTATTTATACTGGATAGCTCTATCAGTTCTAAACTGTTCTCCCTAGAGATCCAGTAAAGGTCATCTCTTATTGATCCAGTTTTACTACAGGAGGAAACCTAAACTAAACTAACTTCATTTATACTGGGTAGCTCTATCAGTTCTAAACTGTTCTCCCTAGAGGTCCAGTAAGGATCATCCCTTATTGATCCAGTGCACGAATGACGAATGTACTAAAAAAAAACATAGTTAAATACCTAATGTAGGCATGTTACTCCATACAGTATTGTTATCACCAGCACTCGGTTGAAACAACGGTATTTTGTGATGACTATGCCATTGACCAATGTTGCAAAGTCCGTGTTGTTTTGTGAAATAGTTTCCGGCATGTTCCAGATAGGAAATATCTTGAAAGAACGATGTTGTTGTCCTGCGACAATCTTTGCCTGGCCCGAGAACAAATTGAACCACAGCTGTACTCTCATCAAGCCATAAGCCGAACAGATCACCACCTTAAAATTACATTCAGTTAATATTAATATTTAATCGATTACATCTATACTAGCGACGGGTGATCCGTCAGGACGAATTTGGGCAAAGAAAACATAGTTTATTTGTCCTCCTTGCATGTTGTATAATGCGACAAACAGACAAGAGCATCTTACTGTGTGTCAAGATGAACTATCTGCTTATAAGCTTGTTTACGCTTGCCCGCGCATACACACACAAAAATCTCGCATCTTGTAGCAAGTCTGCCGACAAGTTGTGTTCGCACTGCTTGTTCCTACACAGCCAGAAATCTCACAGGCCTGTCGCAAGCTGTTGATTTTACCGGCTTGCGGCAAGTTGTCAACAAGTCGCGACAGGTCTGTTGGTTTCGTCAGGCGGTAACAGGCTTGCGGTAACAGGTCTGTCGCAAGCTGTTGACAACAGAGCCACAGAGTAGAGACATACAGAGACGTAACTAGTGTACCCACTTTTTTTGTGCGCATGCTCGGCAAGTTACTAGATGCATGCATCTGATTGGATGACGACCTGATGACGACTCACTTTAAACTTGCTGAGCACGCGCAGTTGATCATTTTTCGCCCGGTCGCCTGAAAAAAAGTGGGTACATGATAACGTAATCTTCCGCAGTGTTTACAACAGTCAGTTACGACTCTGTATGTCTTATCTACTCTGTGACAGAGCCGTAGCACAGATGGCCGTAGCGACTTGTTGAAACAACCCGCTACAAACCTGTTACTAACAAGAGATAACAGGTCTGATAGAACAATTTGCAGCAAGTCTGTTGAAATCAACAGGTCTGTTACAACCTGTTCCAACAGACCTGTCGCGAGTTGTTTTTGTCAAGTCTGCAGCAAGCTTGTTATCAGACCTGCGACAAACCTGTCCACAACAAACAATTTTTGTCCTGTCACAACAAGTTTCAACAAGCCTGTTGTAGGGAAACAAATCGAAAATGTGAGTAAAGAGATATAAAATCGCACGAAATGGACACTTCCGGCTTCACTTTCTCATTTAATCATTGTCATTGGTGGCGATATTAAATCACATAGGAGAGATTATAGTCCATAGTATCTATTCTCTGATTATTATAAAGTGCAAAAGCCGCTGTTTTATTTTTTTTTAAAAAGTTCCGATTTCCAAAATCCAAATTCCAATTTGCTGACGTGTGCTATCGCTATATTTCATCATTCCTCGTTGCAATTGGGCGAAATATTACAAACATATCAATCACGTAATCATGTTTAGTTGTTTTTCAACAAAATTTCAACAACTGCCTCAAACAAAATCAAACAAGTTCAAAGCTGTTTTGATTTTTGAAGAAACTGTGGCAATGAGAATACAAAGATCTAGAGCTTAAGAAATGAACAATACATGAACAACCCGAGTGTTCACTGCAACGTTCGTCATTGTTGATATGAACATGAAATTCGTTATATAATTTCTTTCCAATTTCAAGTGAAATCTGCGAGCGAGGAAGACGCCTTATTGAAGCTTTGTGTTATGGTATGTACTGTTTTGAAGAAAAATATGCAAGTAGGTTGTCATATTTCGGTCGTACTTAAAGACAATTAATTTTGAAAATTGTTTACGATAAGAACCTTTCTTGAATTTGTCGTATTTTTTCGGCTGTTTTGCTCAAAAATTATCTCGCAAGTTTGTTTATAAAACTTTATATTCATATATAAAAATTATCTCGCAAGTTTGTTTATAAAACTTTATATTCATATATAAAAATTATCTCGCAAGTTTGTTTATAAAACTTTATATTTCAAACTTCTATTTCACGAAACACTACAACCGAAATATGGCATCCTGTTTGGCCGTTTTTTGTTCAAAATAGTGGATACACAAGCTTCATAAGGCGCTTTCCTCGGTTTGCAACAGGTCTGTCGCAAGTTGTTGAAAACAGCATTGCTGCAGCTCTGTCACAACAGCTTTTAACAGACCTGTTGAAAACAGCATTGCAGCAGCTCTGTCACAACAGCTTGTAACAGACCTGTTGAAAACAGCATTGCAGCAGCTCTGTCACAACAGCTTGTAACAGACCTGTTGACAGGCCGTTGCAGGTCTGTCAGAACAGACAGGCACAAGGCGAGCGAACGCATCCAGATATCGGCTTGTTGACAACAGGATTTAACAGATCTGTTGCAGATCTGTTCCGACTTGCGCGTTTCTGGCTGTGTAGTTGTCAACAAGTTTGGAACAAGTTGTTAACAACTTGGAAGGTTGTTCCAACAAGTCAAGTCTGATACAGTCATGATATAACAATATTGTTACAGCCTTGTGTCGTCAACCTTGTAACATTCTTGTTATATCATGAGTGTATCAGACTTGTTAGAACAACTTTGTAGCATTCCTATATCATGAGTGTATCAGACTTGTTAGAGCAACCCTTGTAACATTCTTGTTATATCATGATTGTATCAGACTTGTTGGAACAACCTTGTATAGCAAGTCTGATAATGCCGTCAAGCTTGTTACAGATTGTCGAAAGATTAAATGTAAAAATGATCTTGCGCTGCACCGGAATCGCAGGGCCGTAGGTTCAATTCCTACCAGAGGACCTTGTGCTGCATTTTTCGCAGTCGTTCCTGGTAAGGTCTTAAAAGTGTATTTATACTCACTTGGATTACTAACCCTAAAACCAGCATTCTAATAAATGTAAAAATGCATTTCAGAAAGAGTTTGTATTTCATGCGGAGTAAAAGCTATTGGAGAACCATTGCAGCCTTTCGTTAAGAAGATAGTGGTTCAGATATTTACTGTACTTTTTATTACAATAAACAAGTAAGACAACATTAACCTGTTTCGATATTAGGTTTCGCTTTTACCCACTCGCGAATTTGTTCCAGCTCGCCTTTGTTGATATAGACCTTGAATTTGCTTTCCCGTTCGCTCTTCGCCTTTTGTGAAGACCCAGACATTTGTTTAACTTAAAACGATTTTGCAAACAGTAATTCGACGGTTTAAGTTGGTATATTCACTTGTGAACTGCGACTTCTCAATAGTATTTAAACTATTGCATATTTAAATAATGGTTATACTAGGAAATCATGTTCATGGAAAACTACAGACTGTTTGTTTAAATCCGCTCAGGAAACAGCATGGCGTCGAATTTGCATGATTCATTGCATAACATAAATAGTTGAATCATTTTAACTTCAGCCAAGCAGATCTATTTTGCTGTTTGTACTGCTACATAGGCCTAAGGTAAATTTCGCATTAGTTGAGGATTAGAACTATCTTTGTTGAAGCTAGGAGAGAGCTCGATAAATTTCAGGTTTTGAAAGCATTGTTGTTCAACTTTGAAAGACATTTGAAAGACAACGATAGTCGATACACTTGAATAAATACATTTTGTTAATTTAAAAGAGTCAAAAAGGACAAAACAATATTTTTCAAAGGTATACTCTGAAAGCGCTTTGGTTAAAAGATTTATCTCGCATCCTACCATAGACATCCAGGAATCTGGTTATATTTGACCATGCCAGGACGTTCTTGTTATATTCACCAGAATATTATATATTAGGTACTAGTTAAAACATGGGCAGCCGATCTTTATCAGATAAAGATCGGACGCGAATGTTTTAAGTGCTTAAAAAACGACCCATCTTATAAGTTCATTGGCGAAGTAATTTTAAAAATAAACATTGTCTAAGTCGAGAAAATCAAAGCTGAAGTTTATGTAAATCAGGACAAATCTTTAGCCGATTTACAAACATTGATTAAACATTCATTTCTGGGACTATACAGTATAACCCGAGCCGTGGTCATACAGAAGTCCATCTCCATTGCTTTTTGCGTAAGCTCTATTCGTCATGGTTCGTCACTCAGCAAGTACCGTATAAACAGAAGCAGTCACCCCCCTGGCGACGGTTGAATTCGGTTGTTGTACAATAGCCATGTTGAAGAACAGAACTTTAGTTGACTGGAATAGAATTTAGAAAAGCATTTTGGTGGTAATGACCCCTCATACAGAAAGTGCACAAAATTTTACTGAAACTACAGTTGAAACCTCTATTATGCTCAGGGAAATGTAAGACATATTTATAGATCGAGGACGCGGACGTCAAAGACGACGTGGAAATGGCGTCAAAAGGTGTGTCATATCAATAGATGGGCACAGCACGCCATTTTCACGTCGTCTTTGACGTCCGCGTCTTCGATCTAAATCTGTCTAATATTCAAAATGGCGCACGTACAGGGGGGTGACTGCTTCTGTTTACGGTACTTGCTGAGTGATGTATCATGACGAATAGCGCTAAAGCGAAAAACAATGGAGATGGCCTTCTGTATAGTATTCTGTGCCCTGGTTATTTATTTATACATGGCATTATAGAACTCTCGTTTGGGCCAAGAGCCCAATTTCATTATCATTTAAAGTTATTAACTTGATTATTGTATTTAAATGAGTTTTGTAGTTTTGTAGTTTTTTAAATGAGTTTTGTAAGTTTATGTAAATCAGGACAAATCTTTAGCCGATTTACAAACATTGATTAAACATTCATTTCTGGGACTATACAGTATAACCCGAGGCGTGGTCATACAGAAGTCCATCTCCATTGCTTTTTGCGTAAGCTCTATTCGTCATGGTTCGTCACTCAGCAAGTACCGTATAAACAGAAGCAGTCACCCCCCTGGCGACGGTTGAATTCGGTTGTTGTACAATAGCCATGTTGAAGAACAGAACTTTAGTTGACTGGAATAGAATTTAGAAAAGCATTTTGGTGGTAATGACCCCTCATACAGAAAGTGCACAAAATTTTACTGAAACTACAGTTGAAACCTCTATTATGCTCAGGGAAATGTAAGACATATTTATAGATCGAGGACGCGGACGTCAAAGACGACGTGGAAATGGCGTCAAAAGGTGTGTCATATCAATAGATAGGCACAGCACGCCATTTTCACGTCGCCTTTGACGTCCGCGTCTTCGATCTAAATCTGTCTAATATTCAAAATGGCGCACGTACAGGGGGGTGACTGCTTCTGTTTACGGTACTTGCTGAGTGATGTATCATGACGAATAGCGCTAACGCGAAAAACAATGGAGATGGCCTTCTGTATAGTATTCTGTGCCCTGGTTATTTATTTATACATGGCATTATAGAACTCTCGTTTGGGCCAAGAGCCCAATTTCATTATCATTTAAAGTTATTAACTTGATTATTGTATTTAAATGAGTTTTGTACTGCCGCAAGCTGTCTTTGATAAAATCGTTTATACTTTGTTTCATCAATGCATATTAAAAACCATACCAGCATTAAATTTAAGTGAACATTTTAAATCACTGAGAACTGCATGAGAAACACATTCAAAGCTACTTCCATACACCACAACTACACGAGTGTACACGAATCATGTGTGCAACAAATCTTATGATTAGATGGATTATTATCTTCAATGCTCGAATTTACCATTGAATGCTCCTTTTGCAATTCGGGCTGATGTATTATTACTGACTTGTCATATCTTGATTCCGTTTCTTGTCTTTCCTCATGAAACAGCACAGCGGACTCATCTGAAACAGTCCCACCGCCCTCAACTGCAGTTCCTTGTAATTTGGTTTGTGTGCCTGTTTTCTCTTGTTCCTGTCCTGTTTTACTTTCATTTTTGTTGTTGTTATCGTTGCTACTGTTGTTGTCTGTATTGTTGCTGTTGTTGTTATTGCTGTTGTTGGTTGTGTTGTTGCTGTCGTTGTTATTGCTGTTGTTGGTTGTGCTGTTGCTGTTGTTGGTTGTGCTGTTGCTGTTGTTGCTGCTGCTGCTGTTGTTGTTGTTGTTGTTGTTGTTACTGTTGTTGTTTTCTGTGTTGTTGTTTGTGTTGTTGTTGTCTGTGTTGTTGTTGTTAACAGTGGTGGGAGTGGTGTTGCTACTGTTGTTTTGTTTGTTATTGTTTTTGTTGGTGATGTTGCTGCTGCTGTTCTTGTTATTGTTGTTAACAGTTGTGTTGGTGATGTTGGTGATGAGAGTGGTGTTGTTACTGTTGTTTTGTTTGCTATTGTTGTTGTTCGTGGTGTTGCTGCTGTTGTTGTTATTGTTGTTGTTAATGGTTGTGTTGGTGATGTTGGTGGTGGGAGTGGTGTTGTTGTTACTATTGTTTTGTTTGCTATTTTTGTTCGAGTTTTTGTTGTTTTCGCTGTTGCCGTTGCGATTTACTGACTTGTGTCCTGGTTCCGTTTCTTGTCTTTCCTTATCGTTCAGCGGAGCACACTCATTTGAGGAGGTAACACTCGCTTTATTAGGTTGTTGCTCGGTTGTAACTTGTTGGGGCTCGTTTGGGTGTTTCTCGTAGGATGAGGTTTGCAATTTCTTTTTACTTGAATTATCTTTCAACCATCCTAATGTCGAGGCTGTGTTGTTGGTGTTGTTAACAGTTGTGGGAGTGGTGTTGTCACTGTTGTTTTGTTTGCTATCGTTGTTGTTCGTGATGTTGCTGCTGCTGTTGTTGTTATTGTTGTTAACGGTTTTGTTGGTGATGTTGGTGGTGGGAGTGGTGTTGTTACTGTTGTTTTGTTTGCTGTTGTTGTTGTTCGTGATGTTGCTGCTGCTGTTGTTGTTATTGTTGTTAACGGTCGTGTTGGTGATGTTGGTGGTGTTGTTACTACTGTTTTGTTTGCTATTGTTGTTCGTGTTGTTGTTGTTGTTGCCGTTGCTGTTGCCGTTGCGATGTACTGACTTGTCGTGTTCTGGTTCCGTTTCTTGTCTTTCCTTATCGTTCAGCGGAGCACACTCATCTGAGGGGTTAACACTTGCTCTGGGAGGTTGTTGCTCGGTTGTAACTTGTTGCTGGGGCTCGTTTGGGTGTTTCTCGTTGGATGGGGTTTGCAATTCACTTTTACTTGAATTACTTTTCAACCATCCTAACATTGCGGAAAATATGCCTGGGTTTTCTTGTCCCTGTTCTGTTTTACTCTCGTTGGTCTCGTTGTTTGTAGTGTTGCTAGTATTACTGTTGTTGTTGTTGTTGTTGTTGTTGTTGTTGGTATTGCTGTTGCCGTTATTGTCGTTATTGTTGATGTTTTCTCTTCCACTGTTATCAACTATCTTCTTGCTTTCGGAGGCCCTTATACTAGCAGAAACTGTCTTATCTTTGTTATCAATACTTGGAGTACCACACATTCCATTCTCTCCAGGGATTTCTCGAACTACTTTGACTTCATTTTGACGAGAGTTCCCTTCTATAGGCCTGGGCACTAGGTCTTTCTCGTTCAAGCTCTCAGCTCCGATTCTAACGATTTCCATCACGGCATTATTCGAACGAAAGGGGCTTTCTCCTTGAAGCTCGTCACGAAAGCCTTTCCTAACTGGAAGCTTTCGACCATTTTTAATCTCGAACAGAAAGGAATTCACTGTGACGTCAGAGTCTTTTCTATTTGCGATGAATACAATAAATCTCTCCAAACCTGTAAGAATTAAGAGCTTAATTTTAACTCTTTTTCCGTGGGAGCCATGTTAGGGCCATTCCTTTATACCTGTATTTGTCCACAAGTTTGTCCAATGTTAGTATGCAGCTGGAAACCTAAACTAAACTAACTTTGTTTGTGATGTTATTCTGAGTGTGCATCCACACCGGGCAAGCTGAAAAGTTTGCCTGACCACGGTGAGAATCGAACCCGCGTCCTCTTTGGGATAGTAGTAAAAACTTTGGGAGACTATTAAACTAACCTTATTTACACTGAAAACCTGCTGTTTTTGGCAGAGTCGAACTGGAAGCACTCGCCTCTCAGACAATTGTTTACTGCAGGAAACAAACCTTGGTCACAGAGATTGAAGCGAATGTACAAAAATTGTCCAAAAGTATATTTATACTTCGCGAATGTGGTTTGGTTCACGAAATGCTAAAGAGTGCTCTATATCATATAGATAGAACAGAAATAGTCGTTTTACCTCAAAAGGTTGCCACAACAGTCAGATGATTCCAAGAGGAATCATCAGATGAAACAGGCTGTTGTGGCGACCTTTTGAGGTAAAACAACTATTTATACAGTACTTCACTATATCACAAAACAAATACATAATTAAATACCTAGTGTAGGCATGTTACTCCATACAGTATTGTTTTCACCAGCACTCGGTTCAAACAACGGTATTTTGTGATGACTATGCCATTGGCCTATGTTGCAAAGTCCGTGTTGTTTTGTGAAATAGCTTCTAGCATGTTCCAGATAGGAAATATCTTGAAAGAACGATGTTGTTGTCCTGCGACAATCTTTGCCAGGCCCGAGAACAAATTGAACCACAGCTGTGCTCTCATCAAGCCATAAGCCGAACAGATCACCACCTTAAAATTATATTCAGTTAATATTTCATCGATTAGATCTATACTAGCGACGGGTGATCCGAACGGTGGACGAACTTGGGCAAAGAAAAGATAGTTGATTTGTTACTTCTTGCATGTTGTATAATGCGACAAACAGACAGAGCATCTTACTGTATGTCAAGACGAACTACCGCTTATAAGCTTGTTTACGCAAAAATCTCGCATCTTGTAGCAAGTCTGCCAACAAGTTCTGTTCGCACTGCTTGTTCCTATAGTTGTCGACAAGTTTGGAACAAGTTGTTAACAGCTTGTAACAAGCTTGTTGATATTATCAGACTTGTAGCAAGGTTGTTCCAACAAGTCTGATACAGTCATGATATAACAATATTCTACAAGTTGTTTAAACAGCTTGTAACAAGCTTGTTGATATTATCAGACTTGTAGCAAGATTGTTCCAACAAGTATGATACAGTCATGATATAACAATATTGTTACAAGCTTGTGTCATCAACCTTGTAAAATTCTTGTTATATCATGATTGTATCAGACTTGTTAGAACAACCTTGTAACAAGTCTGATAATGCCATCAAGCTTGTTATTATAGTTGTTAACAGCTTATGACAATCTTGTTGATATTATCAAACTTGTTGCAAGGTTATTCGAACAAGTCTGATGCAGTCATGATATAACAATATTGTTACAGCCTTGTGTCGTCTACCTTGTAATATTTACATTCTTGTTATATCGTGACTGTATCAGACTTGTTATAACAACCTTGTCGGTATGCTATCAAGCTTGTTACAAGTTAATTGTTAACAGCTTGTTCCAAGCTTGTTACAGATTGTCGACAGATTGAGTATAAATATGCATTTCAGAAAGAGTCTGTATTTCATGCGAAGTAAAAGCTATTGAAGAATTATTTCAGCCTTTCATTGAAAAGATGGTGCAGGTTCAGATATTTACTATATTTTATTTATTTACGTTGCTATAAACATGTAAACAACATTAACCTGTTTCGATATTAGGTGTCGCTTTTAATACCCACTCGTGAATTCTTTCCAGTTCGCCTTTGTTGATGTAGACCTTGAATTTACTTTCCCGTTGGCTTTTCTTCGCCTTTGGTAAGAAATAATCCATTATCCCAGATATTTGTTTAACGTAAATGAGTTTGCAAACAATAATAGGACGGTTTCAGTTGGTATATTCACTTGTGAACTGCGACTTCTCAATAGTATTTAATTGGTTTCAGTTTACACTAAGAAATCATGTTCATGGACAATTATAGACTGTTTGTTTAAATCTGCTCAGGAAACAGCAGGGCATCGAATTTGCATGATTCGTTACAAAACATGAATAGTTGAATTGTTTTAACTTCAGCCAAACAGCAAAGCAGACCTATTTCGCTGTTTGTATTTTGTACTCGCATTATACATGCAAGGGTAAATTTGGGATTAATTGAGCAGTAGGGTTTGTGAAATTATCTTCGTTGAAGCAGGAAAGAGCTCGATAAATTTCAGGTTTTGAAAGGGCATTGTTTTGCGGCTTTTGAGAGACATTTGAAAGCAGTAATGCAGAACTAAAATGCGTGGTAACAAGGGGGGTTCTTTTCAAATGGTGTTTTTTAAGGCATACTTCGAAACCCGGACTCGGACCCGGACTCGGACTTTAAGAAAATCCGGACTCGAGAAAAACCCGGACCCGGACTCGAAGAAAATCCGGACTCGTGTTTAAGAAAACCCGGACTTGACTTTTGAAAACCCGGACTCGAAATAGAAAAAAACGGATTCAAAACAAGGACTCTGTGTACGAGAATGTAAGGTTTTTTGGAAAGGTTTAATAATAGTTAACATGATAAACGATGATCTCTTTATAACAATAATCCGGTATATATCTTTAAATAAATTTCTAGAGTGCTGTTGCACAAACTGGCGTAGTGCTGATAAAGAATCTGAGTTGCATCGGTAATATTAAATTTGCGGATTTGTTCTCTCGCGCGGGTGTCCCTATCTCTTCCCGCTTTCTATATATAGATATAGATAGAATACTTTATTTGAAAAGCAATAAGCTTGGTTTTGAAACATGTAGATCATTTTTTCTTCTAGTGACTCAGTGTTATATGTGTTATGTGAGGATACTAATCAGTAATCATACTATGATTCCTCACAAAATAATCACGGCTATATAGTATATACCTGGCGGAACAAATCATTTAGGCACTTGAACACCAAAATGCATTTATGCATACTTGCGCGAGTAGCTGAATCTACCCTAAACCTAAATTAATAACTAAAATCTGTCTCAGCAGTCAAGAATGTCTTGTCTGGAAACCATCTCGATACATGATTGCTGCAACCATAGCAGACAACGTGCAGTGGCGGCGCCAGGCTTCCAAATTTGGGGGGGGCATTTGAGGGGCAAACTCAAATTTTGGGGGGCAAGATAGAATTTTTAAAAAGGTCGCCCCCCCCCAGGAAATTCCCCTCCCCCCCTCAAAACTTGGCGATATTCCTAGGAATATCGCCTCCCAAGGGGGTGGGGCGAATACCCTAGGAATATCGCCCCTCTTTAGGACATTCGCCCCCCATATATGCGATGTGGTTTATTCAAATAATTTCGTGATACTTTCATCTTATTATTGCCTTACACGTTTGAGAATTTAACTCTGCAAAACTAAAGCTTTTGTGTCTTTTTTTGAAACGTATTATTGGAGTATTGGCAAGTTTTACCATTCAGAGATTTACAAACTAATATTGAAACTGTAAAAACAGTTTCATGTATACGCGCATTCACTAATGAGTAATGACAACTTATAAGCCATACATTTTCCGATAACGACAGAACGCTTGTGTAGCCTTTAGTCGCTCTTAGTGACTAATAATTTTTTTTGAGGGGGGGCAAAATGGGGG